ATGCTTTTGTAGACAAGCAACAATAATTTTAATAATAATTTTAATAATTAATAATTTTCCAAAAGACATTGTGACATGACACTTAAAACATTTGTTTAGGTTTTTCAGAGTGAAAAACTAGAGATTTAATTCAGATCAGAAAAGAAAACTCTCACAAACTTTTAATGATGGACATTATACGTATATGGTAAGTGGCAAATGGTACTGAACTTATTAGAGCACTTTTCAAGTCCCTCCGGACCCCAAAGCGCTTTACACCAACAGACATTCACCCATTCACACTCACATTCACACACTGATGGCAAACTACACTGTAGCCACAGCTGTCCTGGGGCGCACTGACAGAAGCGAGGCTGCCATGCATCGGCGCCACCGGACCCTCTGACCACCATCAGTAGGCAAGGTGAGTGAAGTGTCTTGCCCAAGGACACAACGACTGAGACGGCTGGATGGAGGACCGAACCAGCAACCTTCCGGTTCCAGGACGACTCCCCWAACCACTCCGCCACAGCCGCCCCATTATATATAACAAAAAACACAAGACACACGATTGGTATTCTGGACCAAATCGATTTCAAGCAGACTTTAAAGGTCAAGGCTTAGAAATAATTCACAATTTTACGCATTCCATTGCAAACAGTGTCCATAGAAATGGGACAATTACTAGAGTCACATGCTGAAACTGTTGAGAACGGCAGGCGAGTTCAGGTTTCAAAACAGAATGTTAGTTTCATACATTGAGCTATCAAAATGTCAACTAACTTTCTGCCCTGGTCTCTTTTAGTATACTGGGCTAAATGTTTTCAATTTGTTACTCAAAAGGCTTCATAGTTTCTGCAGATTTGTGAGTCAATCCCTCAAAAAATAAATAAATAACAGAGCAGATTTGAGCTTTATGGCAGATTATCACATTATAATACTGAAAGAAATGAGAAAGGTGATGAGCCTSGAAAGTAAATAATCTCAGGAAGGCCACTGAATTGCCCTCATGGCTAAAAATGATGCAACACATCAGGCTGCAAAGCTATATAGGTGGAGTTTTTATGTGAAGTGAGTTTGCTWGTGTTTCTGCACAGGAGGATGAAACCTGCCTCGTTCCTCTGTGACACAATGGTGCTTTTGTACTACAAAGTAAGTGCTTCTGTCCAGGCCGAGACCCATGGGTGCAGCGCGTTAAGCTCCTCGGCAGAGGGTGTCCCAGTTTCCACAGGATGCTCTGCGCTTTGGAAACTGATTAATTGGCATCTCTGAGTATCTGCGGGTCGACTTGTGGAGCTCTGCGAGGACACGCAAACAAAATGACACAAACAGACAACTGTGAGCCACAAACCACATGGTCAACAACCAGTGACACGTCCACTCAAACTAATCTCTAAGACCTTGTTAAGTCTACASTTATCACTTAAACTGTATTGGTTTCACTGGTGTGCAGCTTCAATAATTGGCCAAGCATCATGCTCTCAGACCAGAGGAGACAATTAGCTTCAGGTCTTGTGATTCAGCAGACAAAACAGACAAATGTTCTGGTTTATGGCAGCTGAACAAAGAAAAGATTAATGCAGCGTCCAAACTGTGGTTCAAGGGAGCTTTGACCCTTAAATCCCTTCCGTTTACGCCTCACATAGGTTTCAGTATCTTGATTCCTCTTTATAATTTATCAATAAAATTTATTAAACTAGCATTCAGTTTAATTATATTGAGCCAAATCACAACAAAGGTCATCTCAGGACACAAACTTTAAAGACTGGACTGTTGTGCAGCCTAAAACTTTATTATTATTACTTATTTTTTTATTTTTTTTTTTGGATTTGTGATGAAATAACTTCTATTAAGAAAAAGAACAAACTTGTTCAAGCTTGTTGCGCTGCTCAAATGTTTGGATTAATGCCTAAAACACCAATCACGAAATGCAAAATAGAGGTAAGATTATATTGTGTGCAATAATTTTACTATAAATAAAATGCTTTAGTTACTATAGCAGCTCACATTATTAGAAATATTACCAGAGAAAATACAGCAGTTGTCTCTGAGCAAGAAGCTTGCCAGATCGAATCCACAGACCAGAAACATTGTTAGGCTAATTRGTAACTCTAAATTGCCCCTATAGGTGTGAGTGAGAGAGTGAATGGCTGGTTGTTTGTCTCTATGTGGTGCTGCAATGGACTTGCGGCCTGTTGAGGGTGTACCCACCTCTTGCAGTGACTGCTGGATATGAGMACCAGTGACCATCATGACCCTGAAAGGAAGAAGTGGGTAAAAGGTAATGGATAATTTGTGGTTTTGTTTTAGTGGTGCTGAAATGCATTTGTCATTGTGGTGTGTAACCTTCTGTATGATGTAAATGTTACAGTGAATAAAGACACTTTATACAATTATATCGATGTGTTCAAGTTTAAAGATAGTCTATACATCCTAATACTAAGTGGCCAAAATCATCTGTAGGCTGCAAATTTGATTCATGGCCAAGATCACTTTAAACCACGTGAACATGTTTAACACTAAAACTTGGACATCGGTTTGACAACCGGAAGTTTTTATTATTCTGTTCTAACTTATTTTTATGTATCTGTAATCACTGTTGCACATATACAGAAGTAACACACGGCATAGTGATCTCCACAACCCATTCAGGTCACACACCGGTGTCAGATGCCCCCAAACTGGACCATGATACTTTGCGCTAGGCAAAGATGGTGGTACCCATGAAAAAAGGTCGATGGACAGCCATTTGCCTCAACTGGCTGGRGTCAGAGAGGACAGAGATACAGATAATTAAAAAACGTTTATGTTGGGGATAAATCTCAGCTACCTACTTACCAAATCTTTGCAAAACATCTGTAAAACTGACTGACTTACAGCTCTTTTTGTGTTGGCTAATGCWGTGTGTTTTATTAAATTATGTCCAGTGGGTTTTAAGTGATTTTATGTACGGTAGACAAATGTGTGACACATGCAAAAACATGTTCACCCTTTTGCCTTTGGCWTTGGGCAGTGACAAAGTTTTGCAAAAACAGCGTTGGTTTTGTAGGRTGAGCAAGACTGAGGGCGTAAAGCAACACAAATCAGCAACAAGCCTGACAAAAACCACAAGACACCAACATCACCCAAATCCATTTCAAGCTCCGTCACTCCGAGACCGCTCTGATGTGTTATATAAACCGGCCTGCGGGCCTCTTGGTGCTCATTCATAGCAGGAAAACTCATCGCAGTCACGGAGAAGAAAATCTTCCTCAGCTCGTCATGAAGACCCTGCTGCTGGCCTCGGCTCTCGTCTTAGGATTCTTCGTTTCTTTGGAGGCCGTTCCTCCTCCTGCTCCTTTCCCCGTCCCTGTGCCTTACCATGCCTTCTGCAGAGCCCTCTGGTGAGAAACACCTTCTGGTTGTTTGGTCATATTTCAAGTGTTTGTTGCAAATTCGGAACACCTTAATGAAAGTTGCTCTTTCTGAATGTGCCCAAATCTAGGCTTTTTGCAACCCCTTGTGCTGAAATCAGTACCACGATTGCTAAACAAATTCAAGCCTTCAGCCCTGAGTATAAGGTAACAGAGTAGAAACCGAATCTTGTTCATATTAAATTTGTGTATTTAGTTTAAAATAATGTTTTTTTATGTCGCAGCTTGTCGTAGCCACTCCTTTGAAAATCCAAGCCAACCACACGTCTCCTGATGGCGTCAATGCACAGAACATCACACTCTCGTTTAGCACCACCGCTTTGACCACTGCCTGTCGTGTATCTGTAAGTACCCATGATGCACTGCTTTTGCTGTGACAGCTGTTCTTTTTTCTTTAGCTGATGATGTTGTTTTTTTCATGTTTCACTCAGGCTCAGTCCACCTCCCTGGGATTCACCAGTCTTCTCGATGATGGCCTCAACTACTGTAACCTGTACAAGCTACTGTCAGGTGAGGGGACATGGTCAACTTTATTAAAATAATATCCTCTTTTGTAAAAAAAAAAAAAAAAAAAAAGATGAAATAACTTGGTGTTTCTGAATGTTCTGATTTTAGCAAGTGGACTCAGCTCAGCTCCGGGTTTTATGGAGTTGACCAATGAATGGGCCTGCCTGGGATATGGAATGGCCAAATGCAAAGTGTAAAGGAAGTAAAATACTGTGTTTGTTTGGTACATTTAAATAAAAATGTAAAGATTGGAACTAATATTTCCACTGTGGAACAATTTTCCGTATCTGTACTGAAAAACTTCTCAATAAATCTTACGGTTTTATCACACAACCTGCATGTTTCTGCATCTGTTTTGTCCATTGAGTTTTAGCATTTTTTTTTTACTTTTATACCCTTTAAACGGAACTTTATTCTGAAATATTTCAATGTCTCGTTGATTCCACAAAAACACTTGTCCTCTCGTGTGCATGAAAGCAAACTTAAAATCGTGTTTTGTACCCCATTTTTASTCGTTAATATACTCTTGTTGCAGCAATTTCAAATTTGCTTTTTCCACTTGTGGTTTTTGACATAAATAATTTTTATGCTTTAATGAAGTGTAATAGCAACATTTTCAGCGGCCTTATAGGGTACGATGTTGCCCTTCCTCTATCTGCAAAGTTTTGCAAATTTAGGAAACATAGGAGACTTTTATCAAGTTTGAACCCAAAACAAAAACAACAAATCAGATTATCTTGCACACTTCAAGAAAACTATTGGCTTTAGGCTTAAAACTCAGCTATTCAGCTGCTTCAAATCCTCTCCAACTATTTAGGTCTCATCAAACTATACTCACTTACAGCATAAAAGTCGAAATTTTTGCATTATTTTTGTACTTTTATTTTATATCAATTATATTTAAGTTGCTTTAATTGTTTGTTTTTGGGATTTCTTGTGTTCTGTGTTATTGTTTTGTTTTTAAACATGCCATCTGAATGAATTTGATTTGATGACATGCTTCAAGTAAAACCATATTTGCATTTTATGCACGTGTTCTGTGCAAACCCATAAGTGGAAGGAAACAGCGCTCTGGGACAGGCTGAAAAAAACACTATTGCTTTATCCTTGTCTCTCCACAAAATGCGTGTTGTCTTCTTCCTGTCTGCCTGCAGAGGGCAGCAGAGCACAACCAGTTTCTTTCACCAACTTCATGCTGYTGAATGAACTGAGAAGCACTGTCTGAATGAAGAAATCACTTTGAAATATAAACAATACAAACTAGCAACAAAATAATAATAATACTGTGTTTCTTTAAGCTATTGGATTGCTTTTTAAACAGGTTGTCTGATGTCAGAACCCAACAGGTGACTTGGCAGTAGGTAAGTCAGGGCTTCAAAATGTAACTGTACATAAAAAAACACCTCTTTTTGCATGAGCTGCTCCTCTGGAGGCACATYGTCATGGGGGAGAGATGGTTTTAGTCACTCCCTCCCTCTGTGAGTCCTCCTGTGGCTGTCTGACTGTAACATGTCAGATATACAGATGAACAGGAGATGACATTTTCTCTTGTCAGTAATGAGAAACCCTGGAGGGGAATGATACTGTTTCATGAATAACAATGCTTCAAAAGACTGTATGTTTGAAATTAGTAAYAAGTTGCATTTTTGATGATTTTCCTGCCTTTAGTTTCTCTGATTTTCTGTTTTGTATGCTGCTCAACTTCAGYTGAACAGCATACCTATGTAAAAAGGCAAACTCAGTCGCCTATGTGTGTGTCTGATCTATAATATGGTCATCTTGCTGACAAATAGATGGCATGTAGGCCCGGCAGCATGTGGGTTTGTTCAACCATTTGCAGAGCTGGTGGTGGTGACTGTGCATAGGGCAGTTCCCTGCAACAGCAGACCAAATGCTGCTGTGGAGACCATCTGCTGAGCGAAGAGCARGCAGAAAAAGTCACAGTCTGTTTCCTGAAGCATGCATCATCCTCACATGTCCACTGCTTCGTTGTGCATACTGAAAAAGCCTTGGTAAAATGGAAAATTGTGATTAAATTGTTGGGTTTTCTCACACATTTTTAGTATRTATAAGTGGTAACTAAATCTTAAAATGAATAGCTGTTTTAAAGTGTTTCATCAAAGCTTATGTAAAGTTAAAGTACTGCTGTTCATTTTTGAGTATCAGAAAATAAAAATAAAAATAGGCAAAAAAAATTATCAATGTTTTTAATA